CCAACCGAATATCAGAAACGTTAAGGGTTCGTAATCTCAAAACCCTACCTCGGTGCTAAATTAATGAAATTACTCGCCGGGTGAGATCCAACAGAAGTGTCTGAAGACATAGAACTAAGAGGGAGATTTGTTGAAAAAATCCAGATTTACGAGAAATAAAATCTGACTTAAATTAAAAGATATGAGTGCAAGGGGTCGTAGTCGCAGGGTAACAATTCTTAATTTCCAGCATCTAGATAAACTCGTAAGTCATATCCGAGACATATTTTCCGCTAACCGCTGATTTTTATCGCAAGACAGTGGCAAACCGAAAAGAAAGTTTCCCCTTGACACACCCACTCGACTGAAAATTTCGCCCACAGGCGTCCATCTGGATTTTATTGGATGACAACGTATAAATCATCCAGATCTTGGAGGATTTTTGAAAAGTTTAACTGGGGTGTCCTTATGCTTAATTCTGCGTAGCGAATAATCCCGCCTATTAATTAATTTTCAAACTTTTCGAGCTGGAAAAACAATAATTATTAGCAATACATATTTTAGAAATTAAATTTAGACAACGAAATATTTTTATTATGTCCTCTAGTCAGCAACGAATATTTTCATTAAAAATTCTAAAAGCCATGAGGTTTTCCCATGATATGCACATATAGGCGACACACTTTCAGAGTTTTTTCTTTCTCATTATAAACTTGAAAACTAGTTGATCATAATCTGTACAGCTAACCAGGATACAATATTATGTATAATGAGGGTGATTTTAATTGAAATTGTATGTTAAAGGAAATTTTGATTATGAAAAAGAATAAAAATTCAAAATATAGGGTTTTCAAGGTGTATTACTGAACTTGCTGAATATTTTGTTTTCTCCGCTTTATAAAGGTCGCCAGCTTTATCGACAAGAGCTTTTAACGAAACGCTTTAGTCCTATTTGGCCACTACTCAAATTGAAACAGATTATTTTTATTTTTTTATTTGCGATATAAATACTCTAACGGTTATTTAATTTAAAAATAGTTTATTTATTAAAAACAGTTTATTTATAACGTACGAATTCAAGTGTTATATAAACTTCACATTCAGGACAATTGCAGGGCCAACGAGAGGGGGGGGGTAGCCGGGATAAATTCCTGGGGCCCGGGCTCAAGCGGTACGCGACAACTCGGCGATGCAAAGCCGGCGACGGTCAACTCGGCGATGCCAAGTCGGCGATGGCCAACTCGACGATGGTAAACTCGGCGACGATCAACTCGGCGAAAAGGAATACAATAATATAATATGCAATTATTTATTATAATACAATAATTTATTATAATATACAATCTATAAAAAAAAATTGATTAGAGAACTTGATTAATAAAATAAAAATATATAAGAGATTTTAAAAGTGGCAATAAAATCAATTAAGGGTTTTACCTACAATTAGGGTTTCTAATACATATTATTAGAAAGCAAATTAAAATATTAAGGGAAAATTTAGAGCTTAAGATTTTTCAATGCAAAATAAAAATAAGATATAATATATTAAAATATTAGGTTATGAAATAAAAAAATTTAAGTGCTGAAACGGAATTAAAAAATAAAAACAAATAAAAAAAGGTTGATTATAGAATATTGTTATTTATTATAATACACATTACAATTATTTATAATACATATATTTATTATAATACAATATAATATAAAAAAACTAATTCATGTTGTAATTATGTGATATCCCTCTGAGATACTCGATCAAATTTTGCCTGTTATAATTGGCCACTTTATTTAAAATCCTCTCGTCGGTTTCCTTTTTGATGCGCCATTGGGCCCGGCAATTGCTCGTTCATAGTCTGCATCGTACGAAGACTGTACCTTTTTTAAATTATCTATGAATGTCCATAACGAAGGATGGGCAATGCCAGAACCAAAAGCCAGTTGCAACTTGCGATTACATGCTTCTGCAAAATTATTTGTCCTATCTCGTCCATTCAATGTTCGAAAATAAACGGACCAAACTGCTGATGGAAAAGTTGCTGGCACTCTGGTTCCATTATTCCTAAGTCGACCAATATAATTGCTGGTAAACCAGTCTAAAATTGGTTTTAATATTTCTGGCAACTCATTTTCCAATTCGGCAATGGCCTCACTCACATCCTCTTCTGGGACAAATGCCAATGATGTTACCATTTTTGCTTGTAGTGCAAATTCGGGATCAGTATTGTACATTCCTAGGAGATTGCAAGAAGATAAATGCTTTCGAAGATTTTTGACCAAGTGGAATAAGCATCCTCTAATTTCGGCTTCTGGGAAAACTTGTCTTACGGCCTGGTGAATTGCCAACTCAAAGTCGACACTGATGCTTTCCGGATTTAATTGCGGCCAAAGAACTTTTATCATGTTAAACACATTGAGATATGTTTCTGCACTTTTATTGGGCAGCAAGCAATATAGTACAGGAAAAACTGGACTCTTCTCTTCATGCGTATCTTTTCTTGCCAGAACAACAAATATTTGAGCAAAAAGTGGAGGACACAATAAGAATGTGCCGTCAACAAATAATTCTTTCGTGCTTGCACTCCATGTTGCATGGTATTCTCTACCAAATATTAGAATTCGATGTGGATCCACTTGATCTCTTCCGGAATCTGCCAGCAAAAAATTCTCAAATTGAGTAGGGCTGTAATAATATTGCGAGTACACTTCTGGGATGATAATTTCACTAAAAGTTTCTGGATTGGCGGGTGCTTTGCACATGGTTACTCTTACTCTTTGAATGTTTCTCCGCATAACACTGGAACTTGGAAGCATTCCTTTAACCGCAGCTGGTACATTCTCCAAAACTCGTCCTCTGATTTGGGCAGGATTCTCCATCGTTGTCGCGGCCAGGTGCTTCACAGTGGTATTCATTTTTTGTAGAACAACATTTGCTGCATTTCCTACCGTACTACATGTGTGTTCATTTCGTATACATTTGAAAGAACCATCCATAATATTGGTCCATATTCTTCCTTTGCATCTTTCATGCTTGTTTTCGCAGCGCCAGAATTGAATGGTGTTGTCCTTGTTCGTTTTATCCTTCGTGTACAGGTAGCCATCCCAGTAGTACTTTTCGTGACCCCTTTGGCTAAGAACTTTATTTTCCATCTTGAGTCTCAGTAAATAAAAAACTCACACAGACAAACAAAATTACACACAATGTCTTTACTTCTGAGATGAATTCGGAATATTAAGGAAAGTGAATATCACCAGTCTTTTATAGGATGTAGGTACAAGTAAGCATGTAATTATCAGGTAATCTTATTTTTATTTTGTTTTGAAAAATCTTAAGCCCTTAAGCAGGCAATTATGAGGTAATCTTATTTTTATTTTGCTTTGAAAAATCTTAAGCCCTTAATATTTATTTGCTTTCTAATACTAGGTATTAAAAACCCTAATTGTAGTTAAGACCCTTAATTGATTTTATTGCCACCTAAATTTTGTAATTCCAAACAACTCTGGCCATTAAATTTTAATTTCTTAATCAAGAAGTTTCTTTTTCAGATTCTTAGTTTTAATATTTAATATATTTTTTCCTGTATATGTTGATTTACTTTAGTAATAATAACTTTTTACCAGTTTCTTATTTAAAATCTCTTATATATTTTTATTTTATTAATCAAATTCTCCAATCAAATTTTTTTTATAGGTTGTATCTTATTTTGTATTATAATAAATAATTGAATAATATATTATTGTATTCCTTTTCGCCGAGTTGATCGTCGCCGAGTTTACCATCGCCGAGATGACCATCGCCGACTCGGCATCGCCGAGTTGACCGTCGCCGACTTTACATCGCCGAGTTGACCTGCTCCGGGCTCAAGTGGGGGCCCGGCAGCGGCACAAGGGGGGACCTGGCAGCTTTAGGTGACGTTTTTTATTTTTTTTAGAAGTTCGCCACAAGAGCACAAGAGAGAGGACTTTTTTTTATTATTTAGAGGAGAAGTTTTTGCTTGAAGATTTTTTTTTGAAATGTGATATTCAAAGGGCTTAATTTTGTTATAAAATTGTTGCGGGGCCCGACCTGGAAAAGTGTCCCAGGGCCCGACCTGACTCTCGGCGGCCCTGGGACAATATAACAGTAACAGACCAAAATAACGAAAGGTCTCAATAAACATGGGTCCCCAAAGTAACAGTTTCAGAGATATTTAATTACAATTATTTATGATGTACAAACAAAAGAAGCTTTAAACAAAAAAACAAATTTAGATAAGATGTTTAGAGTGCAATGAAATATTTAAAAAATTAAAAAAGGATCCGAATAACTTTTGCCAAAACTAAGGCAATTATTTCGAACAGAAAATTTAATTAAATTTTAATGATTCTAAACAACTGTTGGACGTGATTTAATACATAAAGGGATCAAATAATTAAAATATGATTTCAATAAAAGGTGAAAACAGTAAACTATTCTTCAAAAGAAACATGCCGGAATAATGAATATAATAAAGGATTTTCACTCCTTCCGCAACACCCTGTAACTTTATTCCATAAAAAAGTTATTTCTTTTGATCTTTATTAATTAATTTTCATGAAATTATTAGCAGCGATAATTCGATATTTTGGTCGCGTGCCCTCCTACTTTAAATAAATAAGTTTTTAATAAGTTTTTTAACGAAGTTTTCTGCAAATATAAACCATACAATTTTCCATACACACGTATCTATTAAAATAGAGCCTTTATAATTTAATTCACTGCTTCTTAAATCACCCCACACGTACATCAAAGCTTTACGAACTGACTCAAAAGAAAAGATTAATTATGTTTCCTCATTATCTTAATTTTTTTGATTGTCCCTGCCGTCCTAACTTAACTCAAGAACTCTATTATATTTTACTGCCGTTCATTAAAAAATAAATACCTACCTATGTAGGTACTCCAACAATTTTGTCAGAACTTACCGCCTTGTTTGATAAATTTGACGAATTTAATTTCTTTTTTTTTTCTTTCAATGAGAATATAATGTTTTTCTTTTTTTCAGTCACCAATAAACACTAGATATATTGAAGAGGTAAGAAATAGTTATCATTAGTGTTGATTTTAGATGTTTTGTGTTAGATGTTAGCAAGTTAATGCATGTTTTGTTTTTAGTTTGAGGGATAATAACTAGTGCATTCTAGTAACGTTGTGGTTATAGAAGTTATTTATTATACGAGGCACTTTCAGACCATTTTTGAGCTGATAACATAAGAGCTCCGGGCTATGCTGACTGCTTGGATATCGGACATGATGATAATCTCTTATATGCGATAGTTTTCTCGATGTTGAACATACATTTCGAATGTGATGTATAAAATAAATTCGCTAGAATATCAAGATATTATGCAAGAATATGAAGGCAAAGTAATTGAAAAACTTTGTGAGCAGGAAAACGGAAGTATAACCTAAAAATGAAAAAATATCAATATGGAAGAATATAAATATTGAAAGATTTAATTAAAATGAATAACACATGTAGAATGAATTTGTTATAAGAACTCGTTGAGAAAAGTAAAACCAGATGTCAAAAGATAAAAGAGAAATTAAGAAAGAATGTAGGCAAAAGAAAAGGAAATATTTAGAATCCCGATTGGAAAATCTGAAGAAGGAATACAATAAAAGAAATTTTAGAAAATTTTACATAGAAGTGGCTTGAGTAAAGAAAGAAAAAGCTTGATCTCAAATATTTATTAAAGACAAAGATAGCAAACTATTAGGGGAATTTAAAGATATAAAAAGAAGAAGGAAGGAATATTTTAATGACATACTTAACGAAACTATTTTACACATAAACTAGCTACAAAAAGAGCAGGAGTCAGAAGATATAGTTTAAGAGAAACCAGATGGAACAGAAATTAGAAATACTTTAAAAAAGTCCGATGGAAAATAATATTAGTTCAGTCATGCAAAAATGAGCGGAGTCAGGTTGTAGGAACGTATAGTTGATTTAATGTTAGAAATAAGGATATGCTAAAACATGTAAGAATTATAGAGGGATTGCACTACTAGATAAAACATACAAGATAATAGCAATAATTATTAAAGAAAGATTGCAACAGATATTTAAGGATACAACGGGATATCAGGCTGGTTTTCGAAGAAAAATCAAAGGTATACCATACAGGAACATGTACTAGAAAAAATTAAAAAAATATTAGAGTATCAGATAAAAGCACATGCTGTATTTGTGGCGAAAGCTCTGCAAATCTTAGGAGTTAGCCAGTGAAGATAAGCTTTCAAAAATGGCCAAAAATTGTAAATTAAGCCTTGGGCCTATAGAGCCAATTGCGTTTTTTTATATATATGTTACAAAGCACTTTCAGACTTTCTTGACTGCTACACTATCAGACATGATAATAATCTCTAGTTTGCTATACTTTTAACAATGTTGAACTGGATACATGTATGCGTGTATGCATAAATGCATGTATTTCGATCTTAAAATGCTTGAGTATGCCCCAAACTTTTAGAGTACTTGGTTCCAGGCCCATATACCACTATTATAGTTTTTCTGTGGTTTTGGATGGTTACCAATGTATTGCATGCTTTTCCACTCTTTTTTGCAGCCCTGTCAAGCTTTGTATTTTTAAAATTGTTCACAAAACTGTACTTATTTTTTATGTCATGTTTTATGTGCGTGTTAACAAAAAATGCATGTTTGTTTTTTAATTTTCAATAAAGATTTACAACTAGTGCCTTCTCGTAAGATTGTAGATAATAAATAATAATAGTATATGAAGATAACAATATATATTTTAAAGCACGAGTTGTGAAAATTATGACAGGATGCAGTAAGTTCCATGATCGCATCTGGTGCACAAAAGAATCATCACAAGCGTATGTCATACATTATATCTGCGACCATACTTAAAACATGAAAATTTGTAGAAATTGAAGGTGATTTTTATTATTGATTAATTAGACCACAATTTCGATGCTTTAAACGGACTGGATTTTTTAGCTACATATGCTAACCCTGTATAACTGATAAGTTTTCGAAACTCTAAAACCAATTGTTCAATATATTATATAAAAGCCTAACAAGATTTTCTAGATTTCGCCAAAACTAAAATTGTGAAAAGTTATTTAGCAATATACAGGGTGGCCCTCCAGTAACGCCTCTGTGTGTAAGGCCAAAACTTTTTGATTTTTTAAAATATGTTTTTACAGCAAGATGTATATCAGAAAAGGCAATAATTTAAAAATAATTTTAATTATCGTTTTCCAAGAAAGCGATACATATCAATGTTAGGTTCTTTAAATTGAACACCCTGTATTTTATTTTATATTTGAATTGCCCTCGTTTTCCCAATACAACAATACCAAAAATTATGAGATTATACATGGTATTTCACATGCTATAACCACACAGAAAAAAAGGTGTACTATATTCAAGATGAATGGTCTTGTTTCAATGCTTTGTTGTGTTTTTATATCCACAAGTAAAACTCGTCTCGATTTGAAATTCTAGTAATACTTGTTCAACAATAGCTAATAAGCTTTGCTTTAAGATTAGAATGAACTTGTCCTAACCAAAATACCTCTAATTAAATGAAGAGTATCTATTACTCAATTGCAGTATTATGTACATCTTAAATGATAGTCTTACACTTTTTTAAATATACTTTATTTATATTTAATAATACCTTGTTCTTAAATACAACACAACTAAATAATAATATGATCTTTGACATAAATATATTGATTTTGGTTGAATTATAGGATAATTTCATTGAAGAAATTAATAATCTTGAAATAAGATCAGGCTGTTCTTGCTTTTTAATAGGGTTCTCACTGGTATATATACCAAATTCCTCTGTTCTCTGAGGTGTCCCACCTATAATTAAAAAAAAATAATTTTATAACTTCAAAACCTAAATGGAACATAACAGTTTGTCTTACTAAGCTAAGAGGTCGTATCTACAAAATGAATATTTTTAGTAAATGTAGGTAGGTAGATAAGTTCGTCCTTTTAGACTTCGCAAATAAGTTTTGCATATTTTACTAACCTTTTCTTATAATTATAGTAAATATTTTCTAATGAAAATAGGCCTTCATTATTTTGTGTTATAATAAAAATAAAATAAAATTTGTTAGAATCTTGAAATCAGAATTTTCTTAGATAGGACCTCTTGTCTTATGGCACAAGTCGTCTTTCCAAAATACGATACGATGCAAACATGTTAGAAAATAGACAATAAGATGAACACGTGCTAATGCCAATTTGCCAGATTCTCGATAAATGCGTTGTGTCTCTGACTTCCGAATAATAAGTATCACATCTCAACATGTGTTAGTCCTATATCTACCGTATTAGTGCAGGGGTTGCATTTTAAAATAAGTTTTAGCTGGCAACACCATGCAGTGAATTTGTACTAGCTAATCTTTTCTGAAGTACATAGGTTTTTGATTCGAATTGTTTAATTCTTGTTCTGAAATTTAAATGATTTGAATCAAATCCTTTTATAACATTGAATCAAGTACGCAATAGTCGGTTTTAAGAGCATATCATACTTATAATAAATGTAAGAGCTTTCTTGGATTCATTCACAATTCTATTCTCCAATGAAATAATTTATTCTCAGATTAATTATTATAACTCTTAAAATACAATAATATGCCTATACTTCAGTCAACATTTATTTTCTTATTGTATCTAGAAATATTATTTAAAGCAAACTGCTTTATTTCAAACAAATGTAATCTTCCAAGCTTTTCTTGAATGTAGATGATATTTTTTTTCTGTGCAGTTTTATATGAAAATCGTATTGATTTTAATAAAATGAATAGTGTAAAAGAAACAATTGAATCCCAATTTTTTTGACGGTAAAATTTTTTCGATATTAGTTAACATTTATGCCTATGCACTACTTATTTCAATTGGAAACAAATGTGTACAGGGCGAGTCAAAACTTAAATACATCATTTTCTCATTTTTTTTTTAAATTGACTACCCTTTATTATATTACTATTTAAAAGAACCTTAATTAAAGTTTGAGTTGAGCAAAGCATTCCTATACCTTAAGTTAATAATTTTGAGAGATTTTTAAATTTAACTGAGAAAAAAGATATTTCACAAAATACTATGGATATTGACTGCGCTATCTAATCGGGTTGGTGATGTTGCATTATTAACAAGAATTGCTTGAATATTAAATTAACTGTAAATGGACTGTTTGTTAATTGTTAATTAGAATTTAAACACTTATAACACTAAATAGGTTTTTGACAATACCTAATGTAAATTTTACATTCAGTAAAAAAATCAATAAAAATATCAACCAAAAATTCACATAATAACTACTCTATTCTAAGAGTTATTTTGACAGATTTTATTTATTTAGAAAAATTTATTTAAGTAGCCTTCAATTATATTTATGGAGGTGTGAAGGTGATATTTACTCACATTTTTAAGCATTTTTTTAAGTAACACTCGAAATACTTAGGACTAAAGTTCATATTAAAAACTGACTAAACTTTTTTAAAAATAAATATTGCAGCCCTAATGACGTTAGTAATAACGAACTATCAGTATTGATTTTTCAAAGTCAACTTAAAAATATAATAATAAAGTATTATAATGGAGGAAGTCTAGAATTGGTTGTTAATGGTACTTATTTTTAACTAAATGTTAGTCCTATTAGAAATTGTAAATTTTTTTTTAAGTCGATAATAAATTACAGCTGGTTAAATTAACAGTCTATTTCTTTCTAATCAGTGACCACTTAAAATTAAACTATTTCGTGATTTTTTTTTTATAGTTTAAATTTAAAAATCTTAGCTATAGCGAATGCTCGACTCAAATGAAACTTTAATTAAGGTGATATGAAATACAGCTTTTTCAATTTAAAAAAATACAAAATGATGTATATCCTATACAGATTTGAAAAAAAAAATTGAAAAAAGAAGTGCATCAGCATCAATTTTGACTAATATCAAAAACTTTTTAGCAAAAAATTGGTTTTCAAGAGTCTTTTACACTATACTGTGATAGGATTGTGGCTTCTTCTGTTGTGAAGTAGAAAATCTGAC